AATTTTAGATCTTGAAGTTGAAGATGAAGAGTGAAAGAAGCAATTAGAGATAGAGTTGTTGTTACATAAGCTGCAGGTTGACATGGGAGCAATGTTTTTGCTTCCATGAGACTTTACTTGTTCACCAAAACTAATTAAGATTTGATCATCAAAATCATCTTTTCTATTTTGTTTATATATACTAATAATAACTAATTATTCACTCTGTCAAATAATAGTTGTCTCATATTGACTTGACACATGAATCAAGAAATAGAAAATGAGTTTTTGTTAGGTACAAAACATCTCAATATTTATTGATTTTATAAGTTGAAACAGTTTTGTTATTGAATACTTCAAAATAATATAATGAACGAGTAAAAATGAACCGAGGGAATAATATATGGTATATAGTATAGACACTTTGTGTATTTGGTATTTATGGAGAAATAGAGGTCCAAATAATACGGAGAGGGAGGCAAAGTTTGTCGACATTTAATTTTCCTCCAATAAAAACTTGCTTTGCGTTCACGTTAGACTGGCTATTAAAGTTTCCTTAGTCAAACCTTATATTATTTTCGTTTTAATTATTAATGGAAAATGCATGGCCCCTATTATTTAACTTTGAAAAATAAGAAACCTATATAATTAGTTAATTACATTGACACGAAACATAGTCTTGTGTTTTTTTGACACAGTAGGGTGATCATTAAATTCAATAGGAAGTACTTTAATTAAGTTTATTTTTTGATAAAGGAAAAAGAAAAGATGTAACTTGTATTGCAGATAGAATTGAACTTATAATTGGAGCTTGAAATTTTACCTCAACCTATTCGACTTATTGTGTTTGAAATTGAAATTTGTTGTTTTTACTTATATGATTAATGTGAGCTAAACATAAGTATATTTGGATTCATGTCGGGAGAAAGCGCTCTCTATCAATGATTTTTTTTATATTCAGAAGTTGAACTCAAAATTTCTGATTAAAAGAGGAGCAGTCTCATCCACTGCGCCACATCCTCTGGTGATCCTTTTTTCAAGTCACTAAAACTCCTTACCATAATCAAGTGATCAACTATATCTAGCTATTTGTTTCTTTAAGATGACTCGTAGTTATGAATTTAGTTGATTTTATTACTGAATACTGAAAATATGTACAACTTAGAAGTCCTAGAAGAACATCATAACATTGTTACTTTAGAAAAATGATACTACAAATGTGTAAGTAAATAAAAGTTTAACCTATGGTAGCATGGTTCGAAATTACTATATATGAAGAATAGCAACCAAGAAGCCCATTGCACATCATGACTTTTTATTTGAGCCATTGAATCATATCCTTATTGAAGCTACTAATTAAGACAAACGTTATAAGGCACAATTTTATTTAATGAAATATTTTTGGACTTCCTTTTCATTTTATTTTTTGCTCTTTATTGTTCCTTTTAATTTCATGTGCAATTTCTTTTTACAGAGTCAACAAAAATCTTTGGTCTAAGATCAGATATGCTAGAAAATTAACATGATCAACTTTAATTACCACTAATTAAAGAGAGGACATTCTCTGATAAAAAAATTTTCATTTTAGAAGTGAGGTCAATGGTCAATGAGCCTCATATTTCTATGTCTAATAATAAATAATTGTTAAAGAAAGTAAAGCTAAGTTTATTATTTTCCTGTAATAATATAAATAGTTTATTAAATAAATGCAATTTCTTAGTGCAAGATCCCCATTTATCTCCCCAAAATTACTATAGTCAAAGGTTAGGTATTTCAACTTTCAAGTAGTACAATGAAAGGAAGTTAAATTTAATTTTGGACTTTGATGCGCGTGCTGTAGCCCAGTTATGTTAAAGCACTTTGTATTCTAGAAAATACTTTTAACTTTTTCAACAATATAACAAAATCAAAACTTTTATGATTTATATCTCATTATATATCACTCTAATTTTAGGTTACCATATATATATATATATATATATATATATATATATATATGTGACTTGATTGGAAGTGTTACTTTAACGAATTTTACTTTCGTACATTAATAAAGTATTTTTTCTATTTTTCAATATGTAATACAATTTGTTGTTACATTCGTCTTGTGTGTTACTGTTTTGTTGTCATGTTTTTTTTTTAATCATTCTGCTTTAAAAAAATTTCTTTCGAGTCGAGTATCTGTAAGAAACAATCTTTTTATCTACTTATTTACGAAGGACTACACTGAATATATTATTATCGTTGTTCATTAATAGCACGAAAATTGAAGTGATGAGAGGAGAGGGGACAAACCTTCTTTCGTATAGTGTTAGGAGTAGGTGAAGACAATAAACCTCAGCGGCTGAGGCCTTTTCTTTCGGAAGTGGCAATCGACTTTGAATTTTTTGAATGCCTTAATATAACTAATATAATGCAATAACTCTTGTCCACTTCACCTTAATTTCATCGACCCTATTACTATGGGTTTTTTTTTCAGAAAACATCGATTCTCCATAAACTTGGATTTATGTGGTTTATACAACAACTGGTCATCTAAAAGTAGTAGGTGAAATTTGGACAATCATCCAGCTTGCTAGTAGTGGAGTTGCATGTGTTTTTTTCTTGCCTCAAGGCTACCATTTGTGTGCGCGCACACAAACAAAGTCTCATATTGATAGTTGAAAAGAAGGAAAAATCACTCGCACTAAATTAAGAGTATTCTTGAAACCGTTTTAGCCCAATAGTCTTTTGATTCTTTGGTACTTAATTTATCATTTCTCTTCTCAACCCCTTTTGAACACCTCCTATGAAGAGGTCATTCATATGACAACGTTTTAATCAAATACTACACCCTTTAGACTATTTTAGAAGCACAATGTAGGCTATTATCTCCAGCACATATTTTCATATAATGTTGCTGCTTATTGTTCCATTAAATTCAATACATTATCAAATGAACCTTAAACTTAATTAACGTACTCTACTGATATACATATATCTTGTCATTACAACATAAATATTATTTCACATTTATCTAACCTGTAGAACTAGTCAAGTTATAGAGTTGATCTGGTCTTTGAGTTTCACCAGAAATCTTTTTAAGAAATTGTGTTTTCTAGTGACTTGCCATTTGTAGCATTGATTGAATGTATATAAGGGGCAACAGAATGTCTACATCCAAATTATATTGATCACATCATTCTGAAAACAACATATACATTTGGAAGTTTATGCATTAGCACATAGTACAACTATATAAAATCGTCGATATCTTGCCATAAATTGGTCATATTTTATGATTTTGAGTCGATAGAACCAACATGGCCTGCAACAATAGAAAGTTTCATTCTGTGTTTATAATTTTATATACAGAGGAATATCATTTTCCTCTAGTCCATTTGTGACAATTCAAAGATACCTTGTCCATTTTATACCTTCAACAGTTCAAGACACCAAGCTTAGAGACAGACACCTTATCATGAACTTTTGATTCCAATTTCAACCAAACATATTCAAGAATGAAGCCGCCACCACCTCAGCCAAATGACGGTATTAGAACACGAAGAAAACCATCATCAAGGGGCCATCCAAGATTTGTTGGTGTTCGCCAAAGGCCATCAGGAAGATGGGTTGCAGAGATCAAAGACTCTTTGCAAAAGGTGAGGCTATGGCTTGGTACTTTTGACACTGCTGAGGATGCTGCAAGGGCTTATGATCAAGCTGCTCGCACATTAAGAGGGGCTAATGCTCGTACTAATTTTGAACTACCCGCGTCTGATTCCCAACAAGGTAGTAGTATTGTTGAAAATTCTGAGCCTTTTAACTTTGAAGAAGCCTGCAGAACAGAGGAACCTGAAAATAGTCTTGTTGGTGCACTTAAAGCTAAACTCTTTAACAGCAAGAATTCAAGATCTTTCATTCAAGCTTATGCCTCTAATTCATCTTCTGAATTAGCATCCAAAGTTAAACCATCAGTACCTTGTAGTGAAATCAAGAAAACATCCACACAAAGTGAGAAATTACCTAAAATTGGACATGTTAAGAATTGCTCTGATTACTTGTTCAGGGGAAATCACAATCTTGATTACATAAGCCTCATGACGAACGATTATCAGCCCATGATCTCATCGTCACAATGTCAAGATAACCAGCTGTATAGTGGGACAGATTCAGCAATAATGTGGCTTAACGAGCAAGGAACATTACCATGGGGAGAACCACAAATGAGTCAAGTCCAAGACGAGGTTTCATTTGATACTACTATAAATATAAATAATAACATTAACACTAACATTTTTGGTGGTGGTAATAGTACTACTGCTACTTGTACATGGCCAGTTTCAGTTAGTGAACCAACGGTTGATTTGTCTGCATTTGGGGGAATAGATGTTTTAAATGGGTCAATAATGATGCCTGATATGAATGGACTAACACACACATCTTCAGTTACAACTGAACAACAGTTCCTGCAGTTCGAAAATGGGCTTTGGGGTGTTGGTGACAGTGCAGGTTGGGATCCCTTCCTTTTATCATCTGTGTGATGAGAGTTACAGATTTATGCTTTGATAGACATCAGAGTTCATAGAATTCTTTATTCTTTTTAGAGTTCTTTAATGTCTTCTTCCTTTTCACCTCTCCCACTCTTGTTGCTCCACTGGTGGTTGGAGGTGGAGAGTGTTTATCGTCCAAGCAACCCCTCTTGCCGGTTCCTAGAATGTCTTGTTACTATTTTATGATATTACTTATTATTAATAACAAAAGCCTCACAGCGACTTATGGATGATTTGTTTTTAATGCTTCCTTACTGTGCTTCTCTGGACTTCGAAATTAAATCAATGCTCCAACTAAAAATATTCTTGAAACTTGAAAGTGGAAACAAGGAAAGATATAGAGAGTGTTATGGGAAGATTTATGTGTACCTGCGCCCTGAAGTGAGCATTTCAGTGCTGATGCCTAAATGCATCATCTATTATAAACTATACCTGATATAATATGGAATAATAATACATAGGTTAAACATCAAAAGACAAAATCACTCCATCTTTTCCTCAAATCCATCATCAGTACTCTTTTAGATTCTATTATATTTATAATAAAAAAAAAAAGTAAAACCCAAATTTTGATTTTACCTTGCATATCCCATTTTCAGTGCCCAAAAAAAACACTCAATAAAAATAATGCGTTATTTGTCCTTGTATTACACAATTCGTACATAGCTTAGTTTCTTTTAACCAAACGACCCCCATGTCAGGATGACGATGGTACTCTTCACAAAGCTACAAACATGCATGTAGACTTCAGGCAGTCTGCATTTGTATTTTGCAGCTTAAAAATTACTTTGACCATCAACCTTCTTCCCAGTGTATGTTAAATTACTTTTGACCATCAACCTTCTTCCCAGTCTATGTCATCTTCTTCATCGTTGTCATCCTCCGAAGCATCTGCTTGAACATTCAAGTCTACCTTGAGATTTCCAGTTGTAGTATTACCTGAAAACATATCCAATGTGAACATGATAGTTGAACTTCAAAACTAAGCAAATCAAACACGGCCTATAAATTGAAAGTGAAAATGAAGAAGCAGGATTCGGGAGAGAGGGAAAAAAGAATCAGAGCCTAAAGAATTGTAACAAGACAAAATTTAGCAGTGATCATCACATATAAAACTCTAATCAAGCAAGCAGAACAAAGTAAGAGATCATACTAACTATAAGAAGTTAGAAGATCCTCTCTAACTGGTCGCTAAGTTTCACCTACACACCTGAACTTCGTGGGAAAATCATTACACTTTCTCCTTATCCAAAGTGTATCTACTGCCACTTTTAATAGTCTAAGACTACTACTTCCTAGGAAGTGCGAAGTGCATGACACATGTTGCTCAGTTTACAGGCCCAACTTCTATAACTCCGTAGAGCTTGCATGGCGTTTGCAATCGATTTCTGTTATTGAGTAAAAAGACTTTGAAAGACTATTACATTCCAGAAAGTCAAAGCTCGGTTAACACTGGAACCTTAAGTATTCTCAAACAGAATTATCCATATCTCTCCTCTCTTGCATGGATTCCCACATGGCCATATATTTCAGTTCTCAGCTTTCGTAGACTAGTTATTTTATTCAAACATGACAGCAAATTGTGTATGTAATCACTTTCTTGGCATCTCTATGACATATAAGTGTGTTATTCAGAACTATAGGTGTTGTGCGTATGTGCCTACGCTCTTTAACATAAATTCGTGAAAGATGTGAAGAGTTGTTAGCATACTTTGACAAGTTGAATTTTCTTCAATGTTCTTAATTTTCCTTTTATTTTTAAAAATCTTTAGATACCCAAAAAATCTCCCAACCCCAGTGTGTCCAAAGGTTCAGAATATTCGCCAACCCCTCTACCCTGCTCCCTTTAAAATACCACACTATGTGTTAGCTGTAACTTTTCAGAACAATATTTAACAATTAGGAAAAGAAGTGTTGTCCTGGCTGTTAAAGTAGACATAGTGGAGGAAACTTTGGCATTTGTGGGAAACCAAAAAAAAAATGTGCATAATAGTGTCTTTTTAACGTTTGCACCATGAACAGCTCATAGTAAAGCAGTACACAGTTGACAGTACAACACCAGCAACTCCCATCAACGAACAAGTTAAGGAGCTGAACCTCATGATGTAGCAAGCCAATAACTTCAATTACTAGCACCTCCATTATCAACTTCTTTGAATAGTCCTCCTATCCTCAACCACTCAAGAGACTGAAGTATATGAACAATATAATATTACCTGCAGGTGGGGCCTCCTCCCATTCAACATCCTCTCCTTCGTCCTCCTCTTCACGTTTGGATTTCATGCCAACTTGGCGCTCAGTAGAGGGGTTATATACTCCATCTGTAGTTGATGTTTCCGGCAACAATTTGGTAGCTTCTTCTTGCTCTTTTTGCCGCTTGAATAGAGCCTCATAATATGCCTTAATATATTCATCCTACCAAAACCAAGAAAAAGAGAAGGCATTAAAGCATCAATATACAGCATATGGAGAATTCAAGCAAGAAAGGACAGGGCAGAAAGAGCAAATGATCCATACAAAAGGCAATGACATTAACCTGTATATTCTTCACATCTTCAAATCCTATGGACTTCTTGTCATCAGATGATCCTGCTGCAGCAGAAGTACCCTCCATATTTGATTCTTGCTTGACCTCTCCACGTTGCTCCTTTGTAAGATTCATTCCCTCCTTTATCATCCATGGAGGCAAAACTTTCATCGGTGTAACTGAAACCTCGGATTTGATATCTCCTTTTTCTTCAAGACCAGAGAAAGCAACTTCAACCTGCAATCAACAGCAAAAAGTGGTTTAAATTCATGACACAATAGTTTCAGGATGTATTTCACTCAATCAACATCTTACATAACTTGGGCACTATTATCTCCGTCAAACTCATAAGAAAAGACAGATATTTTATTGAAAGCATTCAAAGCAGTTGCTACATATCGTATTATTGAGAAAAAATCGTTGCTAAAGGATAAACATAAACTCAAGTTATCAGTGAGAAAGGAAACAGAAGTGTTTGTATATAGTATAAACAAATAATCAAGACATTCACAGGTACAAAAGGGAGAAAACTTCCAATGTTGCAATAAAAGGAGGGGATTTAAAATGGTTGTTTTCAAGATTTGATCAGAAGACTACCTAACACAGAGCAAAAGCTATGTTGTGCGACCTCACTGTATGGACTAGTGCACTAATTCCAGTTCAGATATATGAGTGTGTGTTGGAAAAAGTCATGTACATGCAAGTCGTAACTATGACGCATGAGCATGAATATACACCAAAATCACTGCATTGCATTTCCAAGAAGCAACTAGAAACACATAATGATGAGCTTCCAAGTAAAAGACTGTAACAACAAAATTTCTTTTTTCCTTTTCCGGTTGGGTAAAAGAACCTTTGTCTCCCCTACAAACGGCATAGGTGTTCCACCAAATCCAAGCCCTTGTCCTGACTTTGAGTCATTTCCATTATCTCCATTTGCACCACGGGCCACAGCGTTGGCTCGCACTTCCCATGCTTGAAGGCTTCCAAACTCAGGAGCAGGTAAATCTTTTACTCTGGCAAGTTGATCCATCAATGGTTTGAGTTGTGCCTACAATTCTTTTAGTTCTCAGTAAACTGAATCAGATGTGCACAGGAAAGAGTTGGTAAGTTCTCAGATATCCAGGGTTACAATAAAATAAAAAGGAAAGGAGGAAAAGGTTTTTCATAATTCACCAATTGTTATTGAGATCAAAAAACAACGAGGGGCTATAGCTCATCCAAAAGAAAAATAAATAATCCAAGAGAAGTTGTAATACTAAAATAGACGCTGTTAATATTGTCCCGACTAGTTCACAGATTGAGGAATAGTTAATTGACTTTGTAGTAGAAAATGTCTTTTCAAACTAGATGACAAGATACAATCTCTTCTTAAAAAAATTCAGCCTATACAAAATAAAGAAATTCTTTCAAAGCTACCACAAAAATCATGCTCTATTAAACTGAAAGATAAAATCGAATTCCTTCAGGACAAAAGAAGATATAGAGAAGCATGCACTTTGGCAGATAGCGAAAGAGAGAAACAGAGAGGGACTCCACCAATTTCCAACCAAAAACGAGAAAAGAACTTCATAGATCTGTCTTATGAGACCCTCTTATCAGATTATACTTTTTTAATCAAGTAAAATAATCAGATTACATACTTCAAAAAAAGAGGACAAAATGCCCTTCTCTCATTTAGAATAAAGAAGCATGAAGTTCACCTAAAATATAAAGCAACTATACGTCTTGGTCAAGTCAATCTTACAACACCCAATATTCAATGCTTCTACAGTTCTAGAGATTTCATGGGTGCACCAAAAAGAGATAAGGGATAAGAGGCGGTGTATATAAATCCCTCCACTAACAGTGATAGCAAAAAGAATAGATAGCTTTAAATTGCAATCACTCCAAAAAAAAATTAATGAAGTAGAGTGATTTCATTTAATTAGGAAAGTCTCCTGTATGCAGGTAGACCAAAACAAAAAAGTAGAGAACCTACACAACAATATGGTGTTTTATCTCATTTTTCTATCCAGGGATCTCATGGGCGCACCAAGGCTTTAAGAAAGAAAAACTTTTGACACATACCAACCGTACACTTATAAAACTTTTTGATCAAGAACAAGTACATTTCAAACATCCCATGACATTAGACATACCATTCAAGGTAGAATTAGAAGCTTTAAGTTAAAGAGTTTCCAAATATGGGAAGTACCATTTTTAACAAACTAAAGAAGCACTGAGTGCCATATAAAATGGAACATCGGGAGTACATCATGTTTGTGATAACAAAATTGGTTTTTTGACGTGGGAAACAGCAAGCACAATGCTTTGTTCAAAAGAAGTTCAGAATCAAAGAAAGCACATCTATTGATGAAGTTAGTAATAGGTGTGCCAAAAATTTGAGTAGAGAGGATACCCCTGAATGGGAGAATATCTATTAGGCATCAATATACAGGTCAAAGTGTCAAACTCCCTATTATAGGCCTAAGGACTCTCTGTTATCAACCAATCCAAGAATATAAAAGGCTGAAAGCTGATGTTTTAAGTCCAGATAAGTTATTAAGTCCACGTTGATCTTGAAAACAAGCAAGACAACAAAACAATTAACATATTTAAATGAAAAGAGTAAGATGAACATAAGTTTCTTGAAGATAAACATAAGCTTAATATAGATGAACATAAGTTAAAGCAAACAGCATAATTTAGTAACTGTGGACATTGAAAATGCATGATGTAACAAGAGCAAACTAGCAAAGATGTATAGATTAGACTGACAAAACAGTTCACTGACTTCTTTTTATGTATATTTGTATATATCCACCAAAGGACCTGGTGAAATAAGACGCTTATAAACCCACTGCACTATAGAGTTGGTTGTAGCTGCTCTCTCAGTCTCGCTCTTGCTCTTGCTTCATTTATCACATTCTGAACACTAAACACCCCAACCCGAGAACCAGCAGTATGACATGACCAAATGAAATGATTATAATTTAAAAGAGAGCCTCCAACGAGAGAAAAAAATAGAACACCCTAAAACATAACACAGAAATAAGACAAACCTCCACCCTATGAAGCATGTCTTCCAACTTTTCACGGCGGCGTCTCCTATCATTGTCATCCCCATCGGTGGACCCTTGAGAAGCTAGCTTGTCGCTCTCTGCCACTAGTTCCCCATTGCAACTCTCACAGTGGAAGTACTCATCCTCAGTAGAGACCAGCCGCAACGCATCCAGCGCAGTATATCTGAATTTGCATATTTTAAGGCAAATCCTGAGTTTGTCATGAGATGCATACCTATCAAAGAGCCAAAACTTAGCAGCAGTATTGAAGGCAGAACCTTTTCGCACAGTTGGGACAAATATACTCCTGCACTGTGTTTTTGTTATCCAGCTCATCTCTTAACTTTTTCTTCATTCGGTGCAGTCTGTACCTCACGACATCATATATCTGCAGAATTTGAAATGCCCCTTGAATCTTCAACTTCCATGGAAGTACCAATTTAGTTAAATATCAATGATATCAAGATGCATGAGAAGTTATCCCTGCTCAACAATCAATGCTTGTGCTAGTACCATGATAAGCAAAAGTTTTTGTTACTATAGATTACTTAAGTCTCTCATGTCTCTTGGTTGTTTGTCTATCCGTCAAGTTGGGAAATGCTATGACTAGAAGTATCAGAATACTTCAATAAATCTACACTAAGTTGGTAAATAAGGGATTTGGGGTGGAAACCTGTGCATAGTCCAGGCAGCAATAAGAATGAGTATGCATCTTTATTTTGTCATCTCCTTCTTTCCCATTCTGCAGACCATCAACAGTAGCTGCAACTGCAGAATTGTATACTTTAGCACCCTTTGCTCCCTGCAACAGAAGATGTTAAAGAACGGATGACAGATCATCTAGCACAGAAATTGCAGGCTAAATCTGATGTTAGTAATATCTGGAATATACAATTGAATCGCCCCCTTCTCACCCATCAGTTTTTGGCACAGAAGGAAGGTATACTTGGTTGCACATTAGCAACTAGTTAATAAGGGTAGGCAGGGGGGGGGGGGGGGAGAATATGCAGCCAAATCACCCCCTTCCACCCACCATCCTTTGTAAAAAGAGGAGGATCCGTAAACATTCATTAAAACGCCATTAGTTTGTCCCACAATACAATTAAGTTAATGAGGGCTGAGGTTAAAAAAATATGAGCACACACAGAAGACAAAATGCTGCTACTTTGTATTTGTAATTGGAAACTTTCCTATTCCTTGTTGTCATAATGCATTTGCCTAACAGGTCTCAATGATTTGAACCATGGACCATGGTACCAAAGAAGAAATAGAAATTCCTAGAAAAATCAACTTAAAAGAGTATTCTCAGGTTGAAGAACGTACTAATGCATAAGGTAATTACAAAATAGGATTCATCTTTTAATGGTTCATAATAAGAAAATGTGAATTTTTTTGGCTAGATTAAGCAAACAGATGAACTACGTAAGACTGAGCTTCACCCTTGGTTTCCTTATTGTTTGTTTGTGTTGGTAGGTAACCAAAGAAAATTTTGTAACAATTTCATGTTTTTAGATAAGATATTGTTTGAATTAATTACATCAAAGATCTACCATATTTTCAAAATAGAATAAAGAGGCACAGCTTAGTGTGCACCTTACAGCCATGTGGTTACCAAACAGCAAATTCCTCACATCTTCCTCTTTACTTAGGATGAATTTGTATAAAGGGAACCAATTGCTAAGCTAAGGAAACAGATGGTGCTGCTTCAGATATCTAAAGTCTGGAACACTCTCAATGTAGAAACTAAGCCTTCTTAAAGTTATCAAGAGGGCTAAATCTTCCAAAATAATATCCTATGTAAATGAAAAAGGGCAGCCGGTATCATCTTTATACAATAGAGCATAAAACCAACCTCCTTCCTATGGTCCCGTGTGATGAGCTTTTCTTCTTCAAAGAACCGCAAGGTGCGGCGTAATTGTTTCGTGTGCAACTTCAAGTCCTTTGCCAAGTCTTCTTCCCTCACCCATTGCCTCCTGAAATAATGATTTTTAAGCATGCAATTCTTGAATATACAATGCAGTTTGTGGGTGTGTTGGTGAACTGTGAACAAACTAAGCATCCAATTTTTTAAAAATACAATGCAGTTTGTGGGTGTGTGGGTGAATTGTGCATAAACTAAGCAAGCAATTCTTGATAATACAATGCAGTTTATGGGTGTGTGGGTGAATTGTGCATAAACTAAGCAAGCAATTCTTGATAATACAATGCAGTTTGTGGGTGTGTGGGTGAAATGTTCACGAACTAACATGCAATTCTTGAAATACAATGTAGGTTGTGGGTGTGAGGGTGAATTGTGCACAAACTATACATGCAATTCTTGAAAATATCTAAATAAAGTTTCTAAGTCAAAAACAGACTGAAGAAGTAAGATATAACTACAAAAAAGTAACGTTGTATCTTTTCCTCTGATAACCTTGTGAGTGCGTCAAGAATCACCACTGCAATTCCTCTATTATCACTTCTACCGGACTTGGGCTGGTTGTCGCCTTTAGTTGTAATGTCGTCATAGAAAGCTCTTGCCGCAAGTTTCACCAACCTATCCAATAAATAAATCCACATAACAAGAAACCTCAGATGAACAAATAGATCAGCATCTTGCTACACTCACGCAGCAACAACAACAGATTTCAATAACTCAAAATACACATATAGTTACAGGAAAATTCTTGAAATTAGGTCGAAGTGGTGACGAACTATCTAGTAATTCCCATTCTTCAACGGGAATAGGAAAGAACAGTTTCCAAATCACCTAGTAATCGCAACAATAATGAAGTTATCCCAGGCATAATACGAAGTTTACCTATTGAATGACTCGATACTCATTTGGCTGAATTATATCCGAACTTTCATACAGTGAGACTGAAAAGTTGATCCTCAAATCCCTAAATTATCGCTAGGTTTTGAACGGTGCTTTGTGAAAATTAGCGCGGATGAGATCGGCGCCGGAGAGAGGAGATGGTGTTATGCTGTAAAATACATTTTTGGGGGATTTGGAGTAGTATTTATAGAATTTCCAAATTTTCACTTCCCACCCTAATTTCTTTCTTTTTAAGTAATTAAAAAAAAAGTAATTTTGTGTAACCTCTAATATATTTAAATAAAATATAATACAAAAGTAAATAGAAGAGTATTGATAGTATTTTTGGTTAAAAAATTATGTTATATATAATTAATATATGCAAAACCACAAAAATATTTATAATTAATTTAGCAAGAAGAAATAACTCTAAAATGTCTTTTTAAAGTTTTAATACACGAAGTTTTCAATATAAGACATGCTGATTTTTGTAACTTTATTTTTACATGATAAAGTTCAAAGAAATTTAAGTATATTATAAATTACAAACTTGAATAACAAGAAAGGAAATTTAATAAATATATCATAATAACAAGAAAGGAAATTTAACAAATATAGCATAATTTGGGTTTATAAGTAGAAATTAAAAATTTTTAAAAAGAAAATAGGTTAGTTGGCTTAGAACGAGCAAAATAAATTGTATTTGTTCGCTTATCATACTTACATACTAAAGTTAAACGCGCTTTTTAAAATATTTACAGTCATTGTATTCTCCTTTTTCTTATAAAAAAAATTATAAGGAATGTTTCTTTTAATTCAACCTTCATACAAGGGCGGATTTCCGTATAGAGGTGGGGAGTGTCACGGCACCGATGATCTCGAAAAAATGTTATATTTATACAATATATATTACTTTTGTCACCCAGTAACTGAAGCGCGGATCAGTTTAATTGGCAAAGGAGAGCGTTCGCCACACAGACAATTCGGGTTTGAACCTCACCAACCCCACATTTTCATATGCTTGCTCCTTTTTTTTTATTATTATTAGTATGTAAAGGGCTTAAATTTTTTCTTTCTCCATTCATTCTTATTATTTACTATAGTATTCTTTATTGTTTCAAATTGATCCTTTCATATAATTAATTTTTAGCCTTTTTTTTTACTTTCTCTTGCACTAATTATTAATCTTTTAATAGTGTAACGTGTTTGTTTTTTATCAATTAATGAGTTTTGAATTATGAATTTCAAATAAATATTATTAAGAATATATTTAAATAGTAGTTTTTTTTAAAAATATAAATTTTAAAAATGATAAATATTATTTAAAGGTTTTTTCGATGTTCACCGACGTTCTTGTTAAGTAAAATGGTAGGTGAAAGAATGTTTTAGCATGTGCCTCTATATTTAGTGAAAAATCTAAAATTGTATAGTTTAAAATTAAAATCCTTCAAAACGCGAATAAGAAGAAAGAAAGTTAATTTGCTTAGAATTAGCAAAGTGAATTGTACTTGTTCTCGTTACCACATTTATATACTAGAGCTTGAGGCACTTCTTTTTCTATAAATAAGTTATTTTCCCCCCTTTTATATGGGAGAAAATGTTTTAGCCCAAAATAATTTTAAAACCATATAGTTAAAACTAAAATCCTCAAAATGTGAAATAAAAAAAAAAGTTACTTTGCTTAGAATGAGCAAAGTGAATTATACTTGTTCTCGTTACCACACTTATATACTAGAGTTTGACACGTTTTGTTTTTTTTTTGTTAGAAATTAGTTGTTTTTTCACCTTTTCATATAAGAAATAATGTTATAGCTTGTCATGTGTATTTCCAAATATGATATCTTCTTTGGTCAATTTTATGATATTCTGCTCCATGATGATTATTTTGTTAAGGGACTAAATGTCTCCAATAATTCTTAATACCAAAATATTATTAGATTTGTTGCGTAAATCGACGATAATAATTCTGATTATCCTAAGGTAGCGAAATTTCTTATTGCATAATTAGCAACCCGTACAAATGGTGTAACGACTGCCCCTTGTCTCCGATATAAACTCGGTAAAATTGAATTCTCCGTGAAGATGCGCGAACTAAGGGGCTTGAAGTTATCCCAATACCAGAGAGACATTTCACATAGTGCGATACTAATGGTTGGGGGGGGGGGGGAGGTAGTAACCTAACTGTAAGGACATGAACTTACTATATCAATAGTTCTCTGGCCGCAACCCCAATTCCTACTTCGAATGTTAGAACGATTTGAAACAGGCATTCATATGATTTTTTTTCTAAAATTATATAGTTAACGCGAAAATTCTTCAAAACACGAAATAAGAAGAAAGAAAGTTACTTCACTTAGAATGAGCAAAGTGATTTATACTTGTTCTCGTTACTACACTTATACACTAGAGTTTGACGCGCTTCTTTTTTTAAATAGTAGTTATTTTCCCCCCTTTTGAAAAGGAAAAGAATGTTTTAACATGTGCGGCTGTGCCTTTATACTTAGCGAAAAGATTTTCTGAAACTATATTGTTAAAATTAAAATCCTTCAAATTCTCTCTCTATATGTATAATGGAGAAAAAAAGAAAAAGAAAAATTGCATTTATCCTCGTTATTACACTTACATATTAGCTAGCGTTTGGTCATAGATATTCAAATATTTTTGGCAAATATTATTTGGATGAAAATTTGGGTGAAATTTTACCATGTGTTTGACCATAGAATTTGAGAAACATATTTCATTTTTTTAAGAAATATGATTTATACCCATAAGTTTTTAAAACTATCAAACTAACCATAAATTTGTATTACATAGCACAATAGAAATCTAACGTAACAAAATTTATGACTTCCGCAACAAATCAACAAGAATCATTAAGTAAATATTCGTATGGTGAAAAGGTCTTGATACAAATCATGATAATGAAAATACAACTAATATAAATTCTAGAAAAAAAGAGAGAAGAAAACAAAAGGAAATAAATATTGCAATCACTGAAGAACCTATGCTTTCTCATCTGAAAGAGTTCAACCTATTCTTTAATATAATCTTCCCACATTTTATGAACAATCGCTTCTCGATGAGCTTGCATTTCCAAATCAGATGATCGAGAAGATGAAGCGATGTTGTTACCCTGAGCCAATAGTTCGTCACTTTCATCAACAACCATATCATCATTTTCATATTCATTGAATATTCCATCACTACTTTGATGTTCACGTAAAAAATTATTGGTTGGTGTCAATAAATATATTATTTTTGTAAAATAAAAAGTTAAGGGTAAAAATTGAATTTCTAAAACTTTCCAAATAATGAAATTTGGCCCAAATACTAGTTTTTTCTAGTATTTGGGAATTTAGAAAATTTATCAAAAAAATTTGCCAAATAATAAAAAAGTGTATGAGCAAACAAAATTTGCCAAGTTTTTTCTCAAGTTTTACTTGCAAAATTTATTTTTCCTTTTTTTTATATAAAAAAAATGTTTTACCTTGTATTTCTATATTTACGGAAAAAAGTTACGAAATTATATAATTAAAACCTTAAATACTTCAAAATATGAAATAAGAAAAAAGAAAGTTACTTCGTGTAGAATGATCAAAGTAAATTATATTTGTTCTCGTTATCACACTTATATACTAAAATTTGACGCTTTTTTTTATTTTTATAAATTAATTATTTTTTTTCATGAGTCAATGCTCTCTCGCAATCATAGATTTTCTTACTTTTTCAAGGTACAGATGGAATCTACGGTAAATAGATGAAGGCAATATGACGCGGACGGCCAAGATTAAAAATTAGAATCTAGGGCACGGATCCGACCAAACAGAGACAGAGCGAGAGCTCCTCTTCTCCAATTTCAGCTCTATATAAATCGGCCTTTGTCCAGTCTATCTGTGTTGTTTCGCTTACGCCCAATCAAGTGTTGGTCAGTAAGTGAAGAAAGCAAATAGGTTTATGTGTGTTGAAGAATGGCGAAGCCTCGAAAAGGGAAGATTGAAGAACAGAAAGGGGATAATTCTGAAGCAGTCGTTCGTCATCAGAAACTATGTCTCTCAATTGACATGGACAAGCGTCGAATTTACGGGTAAAGATGAATTACATACCCATTCCAGTAAATTTCTTCAAACAAGTCTGGGAATATCCACTCTTGTTGAAGATGAATTGAATCTTCTTACTAATTTCAAGAAAACATCAAAATTTATAAAGACGAATTGAATTACATAGTTTTTAAGGATGAATTTCATGTAAGTTTTCAAGAAATTAAAGTTTTTAGAATGATACAAGGATTAGATTGTTTTTACCCCAGCTGATTCATGCTAGAGACTCACTTGGTTTTCTTGGAAAATCAAAGTTAGGGCTTCAAACCTGAAGTGAAATTCTGTTTTTGTTTATAGTTTCTTAATTACAGTGTAATTTTCGGTATCAGGATTGTTCTTAGCACAATGGATATCAATACTAACACGGCTGTTAATTTTTTTGGCTTTTCAGTTACACAGAGCTTGATGTAATTGTACCAGAAAATGGAATTTTGGGCTTGCACGCGGATAATTTGGTGATAGACAGTGTTACAGTTGATGGGGAGCCTACAGAATTTGAAGTTTTCCCGCACTATTTAGCATTAGAAAATGGGGATAGATGGTGCGCTGTATCATCAGCTACTTCAGCTGCTGATGCGGCTGGTTCAGTTTACTTGTCACATCTAGATAGAGAATTGCTGTCAAATTTGCTGATCATGTGCAAAAAACCCGCGGAGCATGATATTGAAAGACAGGAAATGCATTTAGAGAATGGACTGAACTCTTCAGCTGAAAACAATCAGGTTTTTGAGTATTGCTTTAGTGCTTCTGGCTATATCTTTGATTCATAGGTGTTGTGACTGGTATTGCACGTGGCTGCATGTTTATGATGGAAAATGACTTATTGGGAAAGAACATTTTCCTATATTTAGTTAACCTGGAATTTGGGAAATGTTTTCTCCATGGATATATATTCCAGCAAAAGGTGAATGAGTTCTGTCACTGACGAATGGAAGTAATTTTTCTGTTTTGAAAAACTTTTTATCCGAGGAAGAATTTTCCATCACATGGCGAAAATGAGTTGCATCAATTATGGGCTGAGATCAATAATCTTTAGAAGAATCTCTACATAAAACGTTTGTTCCTGGAGGAAATTGTTTCTCTAGAAAAG